TGTCCAGGGTCCTCCACATCCTCCAGGGCCGACTCATAGGGCCCCTCGCTGTCGGAGTCTGGTGGCAGCTCCAACGGCTCCTGCCGGGCCACAACTCTTACCATGCTTCAAATTTAGAACAAAAGAAAAAAATCAGATGGCAGGGATGAATAGACTCTGGTTTCCATTATTGGTAGTAGAAAGCCACAACTAAGGTTCTGTAATTCATAGGGATAGCTTTCCTTAGTATTCTAAGCTACAGGAGCAGATTGTATTCCTACTAAGAATGTAATAAATAAACTAACAATATCTTTCTGTACATAGTTTGTTTCTTTCCTTTAATTGTGAAAAAACTAATCTATAATTTATTGCTTATTTCCATGGAACTTCATGAGTCTTGTTAGCTAGCTCAATGTCTATCTTTTATTTGTTTATTAAACAGATTCATATAGCTGCCCTACTCTCACAGAATTTGACATATTTTGTTTGAAAGTAAAGTACATTGTGTGCTCTCACATTTTTTTTAATACAAAGAAAGTATAAACCTTAAATAAACATGCAGAAATAAGATAATCCCAACAACTCCAAACCACTCATTGATTCATGTAACTCATTGGATGAATAGACTCTGTTTCCTCACACTAAGAATTAAGCAATCTTGTGCTCTCCAGTTTCTTGGACCATATAAAATTAAAGTCTGGAAGTTTTGATTGTCTATTGTTCCTACCACTGCCCCTACCTATCTTAGAATTTGGGTGAACTAAGTTAGAAAACCAGAGTTTCTGCTCTGACTTTTATGCAAAACCCGAAGCGTTCAGTAGGCTTTCTGTTAGAAAAATCATATTGAAGACTATCCTGAGTGATGTCATTGGTAAATGTTTTGCATCTTTCTTTCTCTATGCCCTTGAATTTCAGTTCTATTTATTGCTTGTTGTTATGTTTAATCTTTGGCTGTTGAACTGCATTATACCAAAAAGTATTTGTTGCATTTTCTTTCTATAATGGTGGTGCAATTTAGCCTGTAACATGCTGGATAATTTTTAGGCACCTTCAGTCTGGACTAAATAATTCTGATCGTTTAGATTAGAGAGATTGAATTACTAATTAGACTAGATATGTTTCTAAATTGATTTTAAAAGCTTCATTCGCACTTCATTTATTACATGAAAGGAAAGAGATCTTCCTTCCCATGTTTTTTCCACAGGGTAAAAGGTCAGAGTATAATAGCTTGACAATTAATAATCAAATGCAATTACATGCAATAATTCTTTTTCATCTCACATTGCTGCTTTCTTCATCTTTGAAATGCCTGATATATTTCTGCTATCTTCTTCCTTTTATGTGTAGCTTTTTATGCTTCTCTTTCCCTTTTTCATTAAGTAGACAGAAGCAGTTGCCTCTGGCAGCTTATCTTAAGTACTATAAAAGGGACTGT